GATTGTGTCTCAGTTACTGATATATATATATATTTGGTTTTTCAAGACAGGGTTTCTCTATAGCTTTGGAGCCTGTCCTGGAACTAGCTCTTGTAGACTAGGCTGTCCTCAAACTCACAGAGATCCTTCTGCCTCTGCTTTCCGAGTGCTGAGGTTTAAGGTGTGCGCCTCCACTGCCTTGCTTACTGCTGTATCTCTGGCACTGAGTGCACAAGGCCCGTTTGTTGGAGTAATGAATGGATGGAACAGCCATGTTTCTGATGCTCATTCTGGGCAAGTTTTGGCTTAACCACAGTCAGAGGCCTAGAAGTGAAATTTAAAGGAGACATGGGGCCTTCCTTTCTCTCATACAGAGATGTCAGAAGCCAGAAAGGAAAACTGAAAGCAGGAGGAGACTGTTCTATGAAGGATTTTTGAGTTTCCTGTCTCTTCTAAAGAAAGGAGAGGCACTGGATAGTCCTGCCAGGGTAGCTGGGATGGGGACATTGTCATCATATTGCTCTATAATGGGAAGGTGGGTCACACTAGAGAAGGGGTGGAAGGACGTGGATTTGCCCTGGCCCTGTTTGCTCTAAAATCTGTGCTCTAAGATTTTATCCTTCTGCCTCTGAGAATATCTCTGTTGCACTGCCCTGTAGCACTTACTAAGCTGGATGTGGACCCTATCAGGTGCTTGTCTTAGAGCCCCTAGAACATAAGCAAGTTCTGGGAGAACAGGGACTTTTCTTTGCTCACTCTAATGGGAAGTAGATGGTGAGCAAACCCTGTTGAATGAATGTCTGAATACAAGAGAAAAAATTAGCTGTAATGCAAATAAAATACTTTAGGGCCTTAAAATTAAAAAAAAAAAAAAAAACCAAAACCCAAACAAGAAAACCAAAGCCAAAACTGAAAACAAAAACTTACTTTAGGCAGGTCATGGTAGGAGGCAAAGGCAGACCGATCTTAGTGTGTGTTTGAGGCCAGCCTGGCCCATACAGTGAGTTCCAGGCCGGCCAGGACTACATAGTGAGGCCTCGGCACATAAAACAAGAACAGCAGGGCACTTTAATTATAGGGGGCTGCAGACAATTCTATCCTAGGTGCTCTTCTTCCATCTCTACCTCTCCTCTGCAGCCCAAGATTCTAGGTTACTGAACAAACTGTCAAGGCCCTTCAGACACAAACATTCTGCCTTAGCAGGGATTATGTCTTTTGTCCAGGAAAAGGAATATAATCGGAATTATACATACATATATACACATATACATTATGTACATCCAGAAAAGGTTCCCCAGACCAGATTCTACCTTTTAAAAAGATCTCTGCAGATGTAACTGTGATTCTCTACTAAGGCACATCCTCCAGTTCAAAATGGAAACCAACGAGAAAGCTGAACCCGATGGCTGACAAACATCACTCACACACCGCACTCACTTCTGACTCAGTAACACGTCTGTTCACTTAAGTTCTTGCTTTCTGTGTATGTGGAGAGAGGACATTGAGACTGTGTCTTGTGTAGCCAAAGCTTGCCTCAGATTCACTATGGAGCCAAGGATGGCCTATAATTCTCAATCTTTCTGCCTTTAACTCCTGAGTGTTGGGAAACACAGGTAAATGCCAAAATGTCTGTTAACATTTTTTCTATATGATCACTTAAATATATAAAATAGACTCTGTAACACAAACCTACAGGACACACCAAGTTCGATCTTGTTTCCCAACGCTCTGAGACTAGTTTGTCCTGTTCGGCTGTGAGGTAAGCAAGTGCTATTTAGGTGTTCACTGCAAAGAGAGAATAGCAAGGCAGCCTGTTTATACTTTGCCAAATCTCACTGCCAATGCCACCATCACTGCATCCTTTTGGAGACACTGTAAATATGGGCATTTCCTCTCCGGCCAGTGTCTTATGAAGTAGCAGATTTCGTTTGAAGAGGAGGCCTGGAAGAGGTCAGCGGGGCATTGAAAGTTTGAGTACTTAGCACTCCAGTGACATTTAAAGACCTACAGACCCAGGAAAAACAGCCTACCTCCTAAGCTCTTTTGTACTGAGTATGCTGTAGCTCTATCTACCAACATCTCTATAAAATAGAAGTTTTTATGTGTGTATCATGTATGGGTGCGCACATGCTGCAGGCTACAAGTGAAGGTCAGAGGACAACTTTGGCATTCGGCTCTTTTCTTTTACCATGTTGGTTCCAGGGATTTTGATGCCAGAGTAAACTGAAGTTCGCAACAATTCGGAACTAGTGAGAAGGAACCTTGGCAAGTTTTGTTTCTATTTTTGCCTCTCCTACTATCAAACCCTGACTGTTCTGGTTTCTTACGACCGGTTCCCAAATGCGTTGAGTGACAAACGCGTTCAGGGAGGTCACCGTCTTCCCTCTCACCTATGAGTAAGTGCTGGCCCTCGATTCTAGTTCACGGGTTCACCCAAGTTTTCTCCAAGTCAGAGAACAGCCGTGGTCTCCAGATGGAGAGGCATGCGAGTGAAACCTTTAGCTTAGAGGCGGTGCGCGGGCCTCTGCGGACGGCACGGCCTCCCCAGCCGGTTTCCCTACCAGTGAGTCGGGGGGAAAACACCTCACCTCGGGGCCGCGGGGCGCTCGGTGGAGAAGCCACAGTCGCCCACTCCGCGCCGGCCCAGCATGGCCCAGAAGCCCCACCGCAAGGGCGGGGTGCGGCGGCAAGAAAGCGGCGCCAGGCAGGGACCGTGCCCCGCGCCCCCGCCCGGGTCTGAGCTCCGCTATTATTCCGGAAATGCCTGAGGAAAGCGAGCGTCTTCCGCTTCCTCGTGCCTGCAGCAGCCCACCGCTCACCCGCTGTGCCGCTTCACCGGGCTTCTCCGGTGGCCACTCACGCACCCACTTCCGGCTCTGTCCGCATGTGGCGTCCCCCTCGTTTGTTCTCCGATGTCGACACTTCGGTGTCTGAAAGTTCCGAGGCTAGTGAGTTCCGGGTGCCCAGCTGTCTGCGTCCGGTTTGGTGCAGTTGTGGTTCCCAAAGCCTCCACTATATCCCTTTTTCTCCCTGCATCCTGGGGGAGGGGAGTGTCCACCAAAAATCACCCAGAGAAAGCAATAATGATGATTATCATTATGGTTATGAAAACTGGCATGAAAACAGATGCTATTAATAATTAAAATAATTTTAAAATTACAGACAACAGGCTTCTTTCAGAGTTAGAAACTTTTGAGAGTCAAGGATGGTGGCTCGTACCAGGAATTCAGTCAGTAATCAGGAGGCTGAGGCCAGTCAGGACCTACACATTGAGTTTCATTCTAGGCTGGGTTACAAGGTATACAAAACAACCCAAACAAAACACCACCTAAAATTTTGTAGACAATATTATTTCTATTAATATATCTGGAAGATGATGTATAAATTTTTGTTTTAGAGCATTAGGATCACAGAAGTTTAAATAGTTTTAAATAGTTTTTATGACTTTATTAGCATATTGTTTTTAATAGCCTGGTGTAGTGACACATAACCTTTAATCCCAGCACTTGGGAGGCAGAGGCAGGTGGATTTCTATGAGTTCAAGGCCAGCCTGGTCTACAAAGCTAGTTCTAGAACAGTCAGGGCTACACAGAGAAACCCTGTCTAAAAAAACCAGAGAGAGAGAGAGAGAGAGAGAGAGAGAGAGAGAGAGAGAGAGAGACACACAGAGAGAGATCTCCTGGTTTTAAACCTTCACTCTGTAACTAAGTCATGGCCCTGACAGCCCTAACAAGCTAGGGTTGGGCACCCATCCTCAATACATCCGTGAAAGAGACAACTAAGGCTGCATGATAGTGCAGCATGTAAAGACACCGACTGCCAAGCTGGCCATGTGCACGCGACATAAATAAAAATAAAGAGATAAGAATTACTAAAAAGCAGAGAAAAGAGGTTTATTCAATGTGCTCACATGTGGTAGAGTAACAACTAATGAGGTCTAGTAACTCTCCCCACAAGTTCTTGGGGTTCTGAAATGAGACTTCGGTTTAAGTAGAGAGCAAGAAGTACGCTTAGCTACATTACTATATGGTCAAGGTTGTTAAATTTCAAACTTGGGAAAAATGGCTGAGTTGCCTATTTAACATATCAAAGTGAATCTGGCCTCCAGGTTTTCCCAGCATTCCTCAGTCCCTACCTGCTGGCACACCTCTGCCTTCTACCCTGAACTCTCTAGGCCAGGGGCTGGGCTGCCCTTGCCCCAGAGGCTCTTCCCTATATAATCCAGAATCTTTGGTCACCTGCCCCTTTGGTCGCCTGGCTGCTGCACCAGGTTCTCCCCTCTCCCCCCCCCCCCCCCCCCATGGCCCAGCTCAACCTGGTCAGGTCCACTCTGGACTTTCCCAGATGTCCCTGCCTGTCTCTAGCTACACTCTGCCTTTTATCTATTATAAACCTCCTCCACTATGCCTAGGAGCATCATGGCCTTCCCTTTCCTTTTTAGTTCTTTATTTCATTCCGAGGTGTGGTCTTGCCCATAATCTACTCATTGATGTCACACAGTGATCTGATAGATTGTCAGAACTGAGTGAAATCTCTTCCTGAGAGGCAAGGCCTTCAGTGGCTGGCCCCAAGTCTTCAGCCTTTCCCCTCTACCAGAATGGGATTCCTGGGGAAATTTTAATTCTTTGGGGACAATAGTCTCATAGCATAAGTGTCTGTCTTTAAATTGTCATTGTAACATCCTGTCAGGGTGACTCCATTCTAAAGAGCAGCCCCTCCCTTTGTCCATCAGATTATGATTCTGTTGCTTCCTTTTTGAATTCTCTTCACCTGGCTTTGTTCTAGGAGGGAAAGACCTGGGTTGACGGCTCTTCAGAGTTTAGAAGGGGTCAGATCACCCCTCTCCTAGGACCCCCGATTTCTTGCTGTGTGAAGAGGTGCTTTTCCTGCTCTGAGGAAGCATCCTTTCGTCCCAGTTCACCAGGTATTTACACGTGAACAAGAAATCTGTTTCTGCGGGGCTCAGCTTCTCAAGGGGAATTGAGGCCACCCTCCCTCAGGGAGATGAGCCCACCAGCCAGCTCCTGGGTTCTGGTCACGAGCTTCTAGCAGGTGCTTCCTCCCAGCACACTTCCACGGGACCAAGGCAGAGCCACAAAGGCTGCCGTCTCACCATTCTGGTAAGTGACGCTCCAGAGCCCCAGAAAGCTCGGGAGGGTGGTGAGCAGGAACCAGGGTGCAATGACCCCCTTCTCAAAGCAGGGAGGAGAGTGTTTCCCAGCCGGCAAGGGCCCCAGGAGCAGTGGCTGTGGGAAGCAGACTGCTGCAGGTCACAAGCCATGGCCTGGACTTCTGTCCTGATCATGCTGCTGGCCCACCTCACAGGTAAGGGAACTCCTGGGGCCTAGAGCCTCCTTGCCCCTCCTCTTGCCTTGCTCTGCTCGGGTGATGGGCACGCTTTTGTCTTCCCAGGTGGTGGCTCTCAGCCCGTGTTGCATCAACCTCCATCTGCCTCTTCCTCGCTTGGAACCACCATTCGTCTCACCTGCGCCCTGAGCAGCAACTATAGCATCGACATTTACAGCATTTACTGGTACCAGATGAGGCCAGGTCACCCTCCCAGGTTCCTGCTGGGACATTTCTCACACTCAGACAAGCCCCTGGGTCACAAGATACCGGCTCGCTTCTCCGGTTCCAAAGACGTGGCCAGGAACCTGGGGTATCTGAGCATCTCTGAACTGCAGCCTGAGGACGAGGCTGTATATTACTGCGCCATGGGGCCCCGGAGCCAGGAAAGGGAGAAGTGGATGGAAAGGGAGAGAGAAGGAGAAAAGTAGTTCTAGATTCGGGATCCCAGCCTCTAGAGACATTCAGACCCTGAACTTTAGGTGCAGTTTGCTTTGCTCGGCTAGGCTGGTAGAGGGAGGAGGGGTAGAGCATGGGGCTTCGCAGAGCCAAGGAGATGGAGCCATTCAGCTTTCCCTTGTCTTGCAGTGTTGCTGTGGGCCCCATTGGAGGCTGGGTTATAGAATTAAAGCTGTTTCTCTGAGTTTGGTTTGACTGGTTTGTGATCTCAGAACCAATGTAAGAACTGGCTAGTCCCTGGAACCTGACTAGTGGTTCTCAGCTTGGCCAGGCACCGTGAACAACAAGCTCATTATGATCACGGGGCAAGTGGGTGACAGAAACATTCTGGAGGGGGACCTCCTTGCCAGGGGCAGGGTCCTCTCTTGTTGCCTTCAGAGTCACAGAGTGAAGGGGCTAAGGGAACACCATCACTGGCCCTCTACTTTGGGGTACAGCAGGTTCCCCCCTTGGTACCTAGTGATGCTTTGGGATGAGGCTGCTTCGCCATGGGGCTGCCTGTGCATTGTGGGTGTTCAACAGTTTCTCTGCTACCAAATACAGTGCACAGCACATGTCCCCACTGTAAGTGATGACAACCCCAGATGGCTCCAGATAGCAGTAAAAGTCCCCAGGGTGAGAGAGACACATCTACCTTCTGTGCAAGGGAGTGATGGGGCCAGCCAATATTTAAAATATATATACACAAGAAATTATTTTCTTTCTTTATTGATGTTTTTGAGACAGGGTTACTCAGTACCCTGTTCCAAGACAGCTAGTCTTGGAACTCAGAAATCCTCTTGCCTCTGCCTCTCAAGTGCTGAGATTAAAGGCATGCGCCACCATCACCCTGTGAAATAATTTTTTATTACTGTAGCTGGTTAGTAAGTCAATTGTCACTCTGTAAAAGTCAAAGGACAAATGTATTAAAAATGTATTAAAAATAACTATGATTAAACTATGATACTAGTGAACACATTGTAAGTTCAAATTGTGACGTCAGTGAGTACAATGTGAAGGGAGGAGAGGTAGAAAGCAGAGCATTCTTGCAAATATTTATCAGCTTAAAATAGACTGCCAAAACTACAAGTTATCTTATGTGAGTCTGTTGGTAACCACGAATCAAATGTTATAGAAGTTACACACACACACACACACACACACACGGTATGGCAAGACAATAATCGAAAATAGTAACAACATAAAAAATTACATCAAAATAAATTCAACAAATAAAGTGACAAGTCTTTATGTTTTTGCGTTATTTTTCTTTTATTAAAAATATATTTTCATATAATATATTCTCTTTTTCATATATTCTGATTACAGTTTCCTGTCTCCCTGTTCTTCCCATCTCTCCTCCCATTGGATCCACACCGTTTTCATCTCTCTTTAGAAAATAAAAAGATATTTGAGGAATAATAGTAAAATATAATAAGATAAAAACAAATCAGAATAGGACAAATGAACCAACCAAACAAACAAACAAAAAGAGCCCAAGAAAATCACAAGAAAACACATATAGACTCAGAGACACACTTGTTGGAACACTCAGGAATCCCATAAAAATCCAAAACAGGAATCCAAAATATACACAAAAGGATCTGAAGGACACACACACACACACACACTCTCTCTCTCTCTCTGACTTAGCATTGTGACACCTCCCCCAAAGATGCCATTGGGTTTGTTTTGTGTTGGCATCCACTGCTGGGCATGGGGGCCTCTCTTTAAGAGTGGTTTGTTTCCCCAGTTAGACTCCCTTGGAGAAAACAATTATTTCATTTGCAAGTGGCTGTCAATTGGAGATAACTTCTGGGCTAGAGATGGGCTGTGTGTCCATTTCTCCTTTCAGCTCTAGGACTCCACCTAGTAGAAACCCATGCAGGCTGTGTGCATGCTGTCACAGTCTCTGCGAGTTCAGATGTGCACTGCCCTGCTGTGTCTAGAAGGCCTTGACTCCCTGGTGTCCTCCATCCTATGTCTGTCTGTCCCTCCTCCTCCTCCTCCTCCTCCTCCTCCTCCTCCTCCTCCTCCTCCTCCTCCTCTTCTGCAGGGTTCCCTGAGCGCTGAGGGGAGGGATTTACTCTGCATATGTCTATTTGTTCCCATCTGCTGCAGGAGGCAGCTTCTCTGATGACTGAGCAAGGCAGGGATCAAGTATAGCAGAATGTTCATGAGGAGTCACTTTGTTGCTACATTCAGAACAGTGGTATTTGGTTTTCCTCTAGGTTCCTGGCCTATCTAGCCTCATGTTCGTGACCACCCAAGCAGTGTCGGCTATGGGTTCCACCTCAGAGTGGGCCTTAACTCAGATCACATATGGCTGGTTACTTTGTGTCCTCACTGCACCAGAAGATCCTGCAGGCAGGCCATTTTTGTAGATTGCTGGGTTTGTAGCTTGGGTTGGGGTTTACCTCTCTTCTTTGGTAGCATGCAGAGTCCCTTCTTATGAACACTACTCTGTAGGGGTGAAGGCTCCAGGTAGGCACCAGCCCACCTTTTCTGTATTCAATGAGTAGTGTAGGTGTTGTCTTTGTCAATAGGACTTTGCCATCTGTTTGTGGGAATCGTTGATCTCTTTCCATCCTGTGTGCCTGAGGGACCAAACTCAGGTCCTAAGACTTGGCAGCTAACACTTTTACCGGCTGAGCTGAACTGTCTTGACTGCCTAACACTGACTAAATTATATGACATGCCTAACTAGGCTTGCCTGCCATGGGTGTGGTCTGTTCCTCCCTGGTGTCATATCAGTTATTTGCCTTCATCTGAGTCGTTTCTCACCCAGCCCCCATTGGGCTTCCTACCTCTTGCTCTGCTGTAGCCATGACTTGTCCTCCATCCTTACTGTCCTGTCCAGTCTGCCTTCACTCTGATTGTTTCCTCTATTCTGAGGCATGGGGGCTAGCCATGTCTGTATTCCCCCACTTTTTAGTCACCACATTCAAATAAAGTGACTGTCTGTTGGCATGAATCTGTAGTCCTGGAGGTTGAGGCAGGAGGATTACGTTTGAGGTTAGCCTGGGCAACATAGTGAGATCCCCTCATCTAAGTCCTGACTCGGAAAGGTGGAACTTTCCCGTTTTTCTTCTTTTCTGTCTTTTTCTTTGGAATGTGGGCCAGAATGCAAGTGTGCTTTCTCTGGCACTTTGGTTTTTTTTTCAGTCTTTCTCTGAATCTACCCCTTTTGCTAGGTGGCTGTCTGCTGACCCTCCATACCTAACTGAAAGGGCATGGTTTTTGCTGTTTCTTCTCCACCTCCCTCTCTCCTTGGGCAGCTGCTGTTTTCAGCCTGCCTATCCTGTTGTTTTTCTTTTCAATGCGAATGAAATTGTCCTCAAGCTTAAAAAAATAGATAAGTAAAAAAAAAAGCAGATGAAATGATTTCTAATTATATATTTTATTTAACACAACATGTCCCAAATATGGTTATTTTAATGAGCAACCAGTATAATAAGCACATATGAGGATTACTTCTTTGGTATTCCATCTTTGAAATCCAGTATGCTTTTACAGTTGTGGTGTATCTCAGCTCAGAACCACAACAACTGTGTACGGTGTATGAAAACACAGACTGAAGGGACAGAATTCAGATTCCTCACCATCCAGCCTATCCTGTGCTGGAACTCCTGTCTTGTCCCGTCCATTTTTGCCGATTTCCCCTAACTGCCACTGACCAGGTGCTTGGTTCGCTTGGTCACCTCCAAATCTTCCCTCAAGCTGTCCCGGGACTGTGTCTGCCCTCTGCACTGACGCAAGGCTCCACAGCGATCTCTCCTCCCCCTCCTTGGGCAACCGTTTCCTGGCCGCTCTTCAGTTGTTACCTCCCTCCAGTGGGCAGACAGCCTGTTTTCCTAATTACAGTTAGCACCTGCCTCGCAGCTCTGGTTTTATTTAGCAAGACTCTTACGCTAGCCTGCAAATTCCCAGCTGGCTAGAGGCTCTGCGTGTGATAAACACTCTAGGTGATGAGACAGGCAGGGGAGCGAGGGAATGAGTGATGAACGCGTGGGCGAAGGAATTCTAGGCTATTCTCATTAGGATCTCATTGGGACCCCACAGTGGCTGGGGTCACTGTGATTCCGGGAGACTGGGAAGAAGCCCAGGTTCACATTCACATTTGTGACTGGCCACACTCTCTCACTGTCTGTACCTCTGTCTCTCTGTTGTTTCCCTCTGTCGCATTACCATCCTCTGATGTCTGACTAATGAAACAAGTGACTGAATGCTGTAACCTTCAAGGGAAAGCTTGAAGGAGGCGAAGGCGCAGGGAACCTTCTGAGCCTGAGCCAGAGAGCGAGTGGGGGCGGGTCCCAGTGTGCAGTACCTAGTACTGCAAAGACTCCGCTTAGAAAATCAAGAGGACTCCTGACAGTCGTGTGGAACTGTGGGGTTCTGAGGACGGTGACCTATGCACACAGCTTCCAAATGCAGCAGGAAACAACCAGCTGAACTGGACGTGTTGACAGTGACTCAAACATTCTGACCTGAGAAAGATCCTGAGTCCCCGGGGGAGGGGATCTGAGGGGCTTCTGGGGGGGTCTTACAGGGAGGCACTTAAATTTTTGTCATTCCCCCCCCAGAGAAGCCATTACGTTTATTGTGCTTTATCCTTTATTGCCCCTGCAGCGCCCGCTTTTCTGACTTAGCCAGTGATGATGCTGGTGTATGTGTTCCACATTTGCTTCTCTGCCGTTGCTTAGAAACAGGTCATGGCTGGTGGATGCTGACAGATCCTAACCTAACTTCTCAACCAGGCTTCAATCCTGGCTCATAAAGACTACGCAAACACTGACCAGTTCTTAACACTGGAAGGTCTAGGAGGACCCAAGTCCTTCCCTCTTGAATTGTCTCCTGAAAACTGCGGAATGAGTATACTCAGGGGAGGCCCCTCTTAGAAGTCTCTGTTGGAGAGCAGGAGCCTAACTTCAAACAGCCCCGGTCAGCACTCCCAGAGTGGCAGTGGTAAGAACTGCAGATTTCTCATTATAAACCAGTAATTAGTAATTAACAAATATGCCATTCTACACAAGGGGCATGAACATCCCTGGAACCAAAGGACAACTCTACTTTTTCCCATTTTAAAAATTTATTTATTTATTTTTATATACCAATCCC